AGATATCTCAGCACAAACAGATGCTCAGTAGATGTTTATTGGATGAAGATGATGTTTGGTAATTAGAGGGTCAGCAAAGGAGGGAAAGAGCCTTAACGAGATGGATAGATACAGTGGCTGCAATGTTGAGCTCAAGTACAGGAAAGATTGTGAGGATGGCATTGGACCAGGCAGTGTTTCATTCTGTTGTGCCCAGGGTCACTATAGTCAGAGCCAACTCAAAGACAACTAACAACAACAATAACAACAATACTCAAATTGGCATTTTTAATGACACTTAGCTCCATTGGTTGAAATAAAATACAACAAATTGAGCAATAAACTACTTTTGAACTTATTTCTATGAATATATAGTTTTCTTTAATAATCACCTTCAACTGAGAAAGAACTGGGGAAGTAATAAGCATCTTCATAATACTCAGGAGCAGTACAAAATATTTCTGTGAATTGTTCATACAGATATAGATAGCAAAAACATCTCCAGGATTTATTTCCTTTGGTAAACTTTTAAGATAAACAGGGGATAGTATTTTTCAGAAATCTATCTGAATTTAATAATGTCCAGACAGAGTAGAAAGTCTGAATAAGAAGTTGTTCAAGCAAAGGAAACAGGCTTTTTTGGTGTTATCATTAGTTGCAATCAAATCAATTCTGACTCATGATAATCCCATGAGTGCAGACTAGAACTCCTCCTTAGAGTTTTCAAGGCTGTAACCTTTCACAATCAGATTACTAGGCCTATCTTCCAAGGTTCCTCTTAGTAGGTTTGAACCACCAAGTTTTGGTTAGTAGTCAAAGGCTTAACAATTTGCTTCACCCTGGGGCTCCTAGCTGAAGTGTAGATATCAACAATAAACAGAAAGCAAAGGAAACATTGACATCTGGAGTGCCTCAATAGCTTAAGAAAGCTTCTAATTTCCCTAAACTACCCAATACTGTAGTACCTTTAGCATAAGAATTAAATAAGACCATAAGGGAACCCACCTGTCTATCAGTTTGTCTATTGTGGTGGCTTGCATGTTGCCTTGAAGCTAGAAGCTATGCCACCAGTAATTCAAACACCAGCAGGGTCACCCACAGTGGACAGGTTTCAGCAGAGCTTCCAGACAAAGAGAGACTAGCAAGAAGAATGAGACCATCTGCTTCTGAAAAAAATGGACACTGAAAATCTTATGAACAGCAGTGAGACACTGCTAGAAAATTTTATGAATACCCCTGAAATATTGTCTGATATAGTTCTGGAAGATGAGCTTTTCAGATTGGAAGGCATTGAAAATATGACTGGGGAAGAGCTGCCTCCCCAAAGGACAGTCCACCTTAATGATGTGGATGGAATAAAGCATCCAGGACTTTCATTTGTTGATGTGGCATGACTTAAAATAGGAACAAACAGCTGCAAACATCCATTAATAATCAGAACATGGAATGAACAAAGTACGAATCTCAGAAAATTGGAAGTTGTGAAAAATGAAATAGAACACATAAAGATCAATACTCCAGGCTTTAGTGAGCTGAAATAGACAGGTATTAGCCATTTTGAATCAGCCATTCATATGATGTACGCTGGAAATGATACATCGAAGAGGAATGGAGTTGCATTCATTGTCCTAAATAAATAAATAAATAAATGTTTCAAGATCTATCCTGAAGTACAATGCTGTCAGTAACAGGATGCTATCTATACACCTACAAGGAAGACCAGTTGATAGTATTCCACTAAAACCAAAAAGAAGAAATTGAAGATTTTCACCAACTTCTGCAGTCTCTAATTGACTAAACATGAAATTGAGATGTATTAGTAACTATTGATAATTGGAATATGAAAGTTGGAAACAAAAAAGAATCATCAGTAGTCGGAAAATATGGCCTTGGTTATAGTAATGGCACCAGAGAGTGCATGATAGAATTTTGCAAGACCAATGACTTATTCATTGCAAATACCTTTTTCCAACAACATAAATGGCAGCTAAACACTAGGACCTTGTCAGATGGAATACACAGAAATCAGGCCGACTACCCCTGTGGAAAGCAGCAATGCAGAAGCTTAATCTCATCAGTCAAAAGAAGGCCGGAGCTGACTGTGGAAGCACAGTCATGCAAGCCACCACAGTAACAAACTGACAAATGCGAGCAATCATCAATTGCTCACATGCAAATTCAATTTGAAAATGAAGATAATTAAAATAAGTCCACAAGAGCCAAAATAAGACCTTAATTATATCCCACTTGAATTTAGAGACCATCTGAAAAATAGATCTGACACACTGAACACCAGTGACAGAAGAGCAGCAGAGAAGTTGTGAGATGATATCAAGAACCTTATACATGAAGGAAGAAAAGGGTCATTTAAAAGTCAGGAAAGGAAGAAAAGACAAAGATGGATGTCAGAAGAGACTCTGAAACTTGCTCTTGAATGGACAGTAGCTAAAGTGAATGGAAGACATGAAGAACTAAGAGACCTGAACAGGTTTCAAATGACAACTCAAGAAAACAAAGTGAAGTACTATAATGAAATGTGCAAAGCCCTGGAGTTAGAAAACCAAGAGGGAAGAACATACCAGGCATTTCTCAAGCTGAAAAAAATGAAGAAAAATATCAAGCCTTGAGTTGCAATATTGAATGATTCTATGGGCAAAATATTGAACAATGTGGGAAGTATCAAAGGAAGATGGAAAGAATGCACATAATCACTATACAGAAAAGAATTTATCAATGTCCAATTATTTCAGGAAGTAGCATATGATCAAGAATTAATGTTACTGAAGGAAGAAGTCTAAGCTGCACTAAAGCAATTGGCAAAATCCTGGCTCCAGGAATAGACAAAATATCTTTGAGACATGGATGTAGCATTGGGGGTGCTGACTCTTTTATGTCAAGGAATTTGGAAGACAGATACCTGGCCAACTGACCTAAAGAAATCCATATATTTTGCCCATTCCAAAGAAAGATGATCCAACATAAAGTGGAAATTACCAAACAATATCATTAATATCACACACAAGTAAAATTTTGCTATAGATCATTCGAAAATGGTGCAACAGTATATTGACAGGAAACTTCCAGAAATTAGTGCAAGTTGGCTTCAGAAGAAGACATGGAAGAGGGTATATCATTGCTGACATAAGATGGATCTTAGCTGAAAGCAAATACCAGAAAGATGTATAAATGAGTTTTATTGAATATGCAAAGACATTTGACTATGTGGATCAGAACAAATTATGGATATCATTGAGAAGAATGAGAATTCCAGAACTCTTAATTATGCTCATGAGGAACTTTTACATAGACCAAAAGGCAGTCATTCAAACAAAACAAGGGAATACTATATGGTCTAAAATCAGGGAGGGCATGCACCTGGGTTGTATACTTTCATTAGACTTACTCAAATCTGTCTCCTGAGCAAATAATCTGAGAATCTCAATTATATGAAGAAAACATCAAGATTGGAGGAAGAATCATTAACAACCTGTAATATCCAGATTGGGCAATCTACTTCCGTAGTGATATTGCCTTGGAAACCCAAGGAGGGGTCACTATGAGTCAGGTCCGACTCAACGGCACATAACAACAATTATCCAGATGAAAAACCTTGAATGCTGACAGTGAAGATGACTTGAAGCATTTACTGATGAAGATCAAACACTACAGTCTGTAGTATGGATTGTACCTCAACATGAAGAAAACAAAAATCTTCACAACTGGACCAATAATGATAAACATGATAAACAGAGGAAAGATTGATGTTGTCAGGGATTTCATTTCACTTGGATCCACAGTCAACAACCTTGTAAGCAGCAGTCAGGAAATCAGATGTCATATGGCACTGGGCAAATCTGCTTCAAAAGACCTCTTTAAAGTGTTAAGAAGCTAAGATGTCACTTTGAAGGCAAAGGTGTGACTGATCCAAGATATGCTATTTTCAATTGTCTCATATGCATATGAAAGCTGGACAATGAATTAGGAAGACTGAAGAAGAGTTGATGCTTTTGAATTGTGCTGTTGGCAAAGAATACTGATAATACCATGGAGTTCCAGAAGAACAAACAAATCTGTCCTGGAAGAAGTGCTGCCAGGATGCTCCTTACAAGTAACAATGGCTGGACTTCATCTCACCTGCTTTGGTGTTGTCAGAAGGGACCATTCCCTGGAGAAGAATACCATGCTTTGTAAAGCAGAGCATCAGCAAAGAAGGGGAAGATACTCAATGAGATGGATTGACATAGTGGCTGCAATGATGGGCTCAAACATATCAAGGATTATAAGGATAGCACAGGCTTGGACAGTGTTTCATTCTGTTGTACATAGGGTCGCTGTGAGTGGGAGCCAACTCAACGGCACCTCACAACAACAACAACACAACACAAAGCTACACCATACTCCATATGATCTATATTTGATCCCAGCTTTCCCACAATCAGAGCTAAAGTCAATTCAATGCTTTCTAATGCAGAATTTGATCACAGAAAAACTTATCTCTTTCCATATATACTTAATCTTTTGTGAAATAAATGAGAACTCCAGGGTGTCCAATAGCATTCTTGCCTTTTTCAGATGTTTATGACCAGTTTCTTCTATCATCAAGAAGAAAGCAGTGATTCCCAAACTTTCATGTGCATAAATATGATGTAGGTGCTACAAACTATATGGATTGCAAGGGACTTTCTTCTCTGAAAATTCTGACTCAACAGGCTTGGGTTGAGGCCAAAATCTTCAACTTAAACAACTAACAGAAATAACCATTTGTTCAACAAACATTTGTGTGTCCAGTATGCGCCAGACAGCCAGACATAGTTCATAGTTGTATGCATTGCAGAGTTTGTCCTCTAGTGAAAGAAGCCAATGAACAGTTTTTATATATATGTAATAAACCATTTTATATTCTGATATATTTTAAAGAAAATACAAGGTACTGTAATAAAGAGCAAACTCCTAAGTTGCAGAAACAGTTCGTACTCAAATACTAACCTAAAGATTAGCTGTTCAAACCTACCCACAGTACCATGGATGAAACACCTGGTAATCTGCTTCCTTTAAGATTACAGGTAAGAAAACCTTATTGAACTCATTACTACCTTGTAATACATTGAGTCACTATGAGTCAGAATCAACTTGATAGCAATCAACAACAACATAATAATAAAGAGTGATGAAGGAGGAAGACTGATTAATTAGAAGGGTGCTAAGAAATATATGGACTATATCAAGACTGGTGAATTAGTTCTGGATTATAAACACTAAGTTCTGGGGTTGTAGAGCACCATCTCAGCTACTTGGGAGAATTTAAAATACGGAAAATTTTATCCTCCTTTATCTTTTTTTTCTCTAAAAATTCTAAGGTATCTAACTATTTCCAGTATAGAATACACCTGTATCTTCTACTACAGCCACTCAACATTCTTAGCTCTCTCTGATCACTTTTGTTGTTGTTGTTATGTGCCGTCGAGTTGGACCCAACTCATAGCGACCCCTCCTTGGGTTTCTGAGGCAGTATCAGTACAGAAGTAGATTGCCCCATCTTCCTTCCGAGGAGTGGCTGGTGGGTTTGAACCACCAGCCTTCTGATCACTTTAGGTCAATGCATATAGGAAGTAATCAACGTTACTAGTAGTCAGGTAAATGTTAGATTGTAAGATTCACAAAGACAGGAATCTTTGCTTACTTTGATTATTAACTTATCTGTATTGCCTTGAACAATACTTGGAATAAATAAAGTTCAAAGGAAGATGTCTAGTCTTACAAAGCCCAGGAGAGCCAGGGTGGAGTTTAAAGTGGAGGGAGAAACACATTGTAGAAATGTTCTCTTGGTTGAAGGAAGAATTCCTAGCATTCACAGGTGAAATTGATATATATTATTGCAATAAACCAATGTTATAAAAGTTGTTGTGAGCCTCTGGTAAACCACAACCAAACTATCTAGTCAATTCCAACTCAGAGCAACCCTACAGAACAGAGTAGAACTGCCCCATAAGATTTCCAAGGCTGTAGTGCCTATGACACTTGACTGTGAACCAAAATGCTGGCGGTTCAAACCCACCAGCCACTCCTCGGAAGGAAGGTTGAGCAATCTACTTCCATAGTGATACTGCCTTGGAAACCCAAGAACTGGTCACTATGAGTCAGGTCTGACTCAACGGCACATAACAACACAACAACCACAATCTTCATGAAAGCAATCTGTCACATCTTTCTTCCACAGAGAAGCTGGTGATTTCAAACCATCAACCTTTCAGTTTGCAGTCAAGCACTTAACCAATGCACCACCATGTTTCTGATAGCCTCTGGTACCAATGAGTCAAATAATCAAAGACTGATCTGAAACTCAATATAATTCCCATGGTTCTAGTCAATAGCATAGAAATTACCATGTACTAATTCTGTATAATATGAAGAAGAAAGCAGCATCAGGAATGGAGGAAGATTCATTAACAACCTGTGATATGCAGATAATACAACCTTCCTTGCTGAAAGTAAAGATGACTGGAAGCTCTTACTCATGAAGATCAAAGAGTACAGTTATCTATCGATATAGATCAAACCTCAACATGAAGGGAAAAATCCTCACAACCAAACCAATAAGAACATCATGGAGAAAATATAAATGGAGAAAAGATTGAAGCTGTCAAGGACTTCATTTTACTTAAATTCACAGTTAATGCTCATGGAAACAGCACTCAAGAAATCAAACAACATATTGCGTTAGGCTAATCTGCTGTGAAAGACCTCTTAAAAGTGTTGAAAAGCAAAAATGCCACTGAGGACTATGGTGCACCTGATCCAAGCCATAGTAGATTCAATCACCTCATATGCATGTGAAAACTGGACAATCCAAAAGGAAAACCAAAGTATTGATGGCTTTGAATCGTGGTGTTGGTGAAGAATAATAAATACACCATGGACTAGCAGGAAAACAAAGGCACTTTAGTAGTATAGTGGTTAAGGCATTGAGTTGCTAACCAGAAGGTCAGCAGTTCAAACTCACCAGCTGCTCTTCAGAAGAAAGATGAGGCAGTCTTCTTCCATTAAGATTTACACCCTTGGAAGCCCAATGGGGTCTCTATGAGTTGGAATCAACTCAATGCTAGTGAGTTTGGTTTTGGACCAGAAATACAAACAAATTTATCTTGGGAAAAGTACAGCCAGAGTGCTGCTTAGAAGCAAGGATGATGAGTCTTCGTGTCACATATTTTGGACATGTTATCAACAGAGACAAGTCCCTCAGAGAAAGACATCATGCTGATAAAGTAGAGTTTCAATGAAAATAAGGAGCTTCAACATAAAAAATTGACACAGTGGTGCAATAGTACATTAAAACATGGAAACGATTATGAGGATGGGTCAGAATTAGGCAGTGTTTCATTCTGTTGTCCATAGAGTCAGTATGACTTGGAACCAACTCAACAGCCCCAAGACAACAACAACAATTCTTTGTGACACATTCATAATTTAGAAACTGATCAGAACATAAACTTCTTACCATCACTACATCATGACAAAGAAAGAGGAAGCATGCCACTGAAAAATGAGAATGGCTGGTATTATTTTAGCAGCTTGTTTTAGCAGTTTTGAAACTCTGTCATCAATCCTGACACATTAGAAGCCAACTATTCTCAGAAGTGGTAAATCTGAATTTACTCTTTGTTCAGATTTGTGCCCAATTTTCTAAGACATGAAATAGTTCTAAGAAACAGACAGGTAGACAGAAATAACTACAATGTCAATACATTTTATTGTGTTTTGGCTGCACTACATTGATTCCTGGAAATACCTCATTCTTCTCAGGCCTTCAGAACCAAAGCGAAGTCACAGTAAACATCATCATCAGAGAAATGCAAGTAAAATAGATTTTTCTTGAATTTTCTAGGCAAATTATTTGTTTATTATTTGGTATTTTACCAGATGTCTCCCAGATGAGCAGTTTTATGATATTGACTCTGTATGTCAGAGTGGAGAGCTATCCTTGAAACAGAGTAATTATCTCAAGTTTAATAACTTAATTTTGTACATCCATAAAATGTCAGCTATATTACTGAAATTTTAAAAACTAAAGAAAATGATTATTCATAACAAGTTAATCAGTTAACAAATATATATTGAGAAATATATGTTGCAACTCAAATGCAAATGGTCCTCCAAATTATATTGATCAAAATATTTCACATTTTGATTTAATTTGTAAAAAGGTGCCCTGGGGTATGTAAGAAATTATTGATTTTCTAGGTTTTAAAAACCAGTAGCTGTAATTTTGGAAGGAAGAATATCAGCCATAACCTATAACAGATGTAGGGCAGCTTGCTATTGAGGTTCTTAAACTAAAAAGAAGCATTGAAATATGGAAGTGTAGTATCTAGTTATTTTTCATCTCAACAATAGCTTTAAATTAAAGAAGATTGGATTTATTGATTATGAATTCAGTTAATTTTATAAGTTCCTTCTAATATTTCTTTATAAAAGGATGCATTATTTTAAAATATGTGAATAGCCTCTTTTCAAGCTCAATGAAAGGCAACTCTATTTCCCCTTCTGTATTCATTAACTAAAATTGACCTTAAGATGACCCTGTTGTCCTCAAATCTTCCTTTTTGTCGTCTTCTTATTGGGTAAGAAGGAGTAAGGAAATACAATAGCATAGTGTGACTCAAGGTACTAATATCCTTTAATTACTCCTCAGTTATTTACCTTGGGTCTTCTACACAAGACCGCTGAGAGGCCAGTTCAACCTACTGCCAAGCAAGACCTATCGGGCACAAAGAAAGGTAATCATATTGAAATGTCAAGACAGAATGGTTCCTTTTCATAATAGTTAGTTGGAACAACACTAAAGTTATTTTATAAACATATTTTCCTCTTATTATACTTCATTGTTATACTTGAATATATCTTGCATTGTTTTAATATCATGACTTTATAATAACATTTATTTTTAACTATACTTTGGGTCAAAGTCAAGAGCAGTTGCTGGTTAAATTAGAAGATAATGTCAATTATAAATAGGAACATTTTCAGGTCAATGATTCTATTCCTACAGCCAAAAGTAGAGGTTGGACTCATAATACTTGAGATTGATCCCTCACTTAACTTTCAAGTTGTATTTCTACCTTAAGGTCATAACATAATTCGATTTGTTATAGTACAATTGTTGTTTTAAAATGTGCCCTTTATGTAATCATGAAAGCTGAATAGCGTTACTGTTTCACAAATTAGTTCTGTTTCACCAAGTGTTGGGAATCTCTGAGTCATGCAAAAAGTTACCACTCTCAGTTGCTAACCAAAAGGCTTGAGGTTTGAATCCACCCAAAGAAATCTTGGGAGAAAGCCCTGTTGCTATATAAAAATTAGCTATTGAAAACCCTATGGAGCACAGCTCTATTTTGACACACGTAGAGTCACGAGAACTAAGAATTGACTTGACAGAAATTTGTATTGGTATCAAGTGATGAAGGCAAGTGCAAATACTTACTGATTTTAGTAGTTGCTATGTCAAAAATGGTCATATCTCTGATTTATTTTTATGCTACAAAAGGGAGGAATTACTATCATTTTACAGAATGTTTTACTTTATTTTATTGGATCATATTTTGTGTAAACTGAAAAGGAAGGAGTTTGTGACTCCTTGTAGAAGATTTTTGTTCAGTCTATAATTTTAAAAGGAAACTAGCACATGAAGAGTTTTAAATAACCCCCTCCCTCTCAATGAAACTTGAGTTTGCCTTCGGTTGTACAATTTCATGCCACGTGAGCTTTTTTCCATTCACTGATGCCCTATAAGTGGTTCTGAAGCCAACTTAGTAAAGAACTTTCCTAACCATTATTATCAGAGGCAAGTGGAGTCTGATGTGCTATCGTTTTCCTGCTCTGTGACTCTGCTTTGTAAAACTCAAAATTTGTAACGACTGAAGTCTATGTAAGTAAGACAATAGCAACAGCTGTAACAAGATATAGTTTATCTTTACATCACAAATTCAATATGTAGTTAATTAGGAAATGTTTTATGTGTCAGATGTATCTTCCTAAAAAGACAATTTATTAAATATAAAATACACAA